AAGAAAAAAGAAAAAGCCCCAGGCTCCAGGCGAACCTAGCCGGTACCGTTCCAACGGCTCTCTCGAGCCTCCTCTTGGCTTTGCTTTCGAGATATATCGGATTCGTGCACGAGGCTTCTAGAAGGTTCATGTCCAAGAGTACTTTGTTGGGTCCCGTTTTGTCCGGATTGTAGCGGGCCCGGGCCGAGCCCTTGAGATCGTAAACCCTCGAAATATTTTTACCGAAAAATATATTCTCCATCACCATCAAATCCATTCTTGTCTCCTTCCCACCTTTCGGTTGTTTTACAGTAACCTACGATTTTTCACAGAATGCAAATTGAAATTAATAAAATCGGACAAAAGACATAAGAAAAATTTGGGCTTATTTTTTTTCTCCAATTGTTAAAAAACTTCTCATGTTTAGGGGTTGTTTGCTAAAAAGATGCATTATAAAGGGGTTCTTTTGCTAATATTAGTAACATGGGGAGTTTTTTAGCAATTCGATATAACACAAAGGGTACTAAATGCAATAAACTCGAAAAATTACGGTTGCATGAAAAAAAAAAAAAAGAAAAAGAAACCTGATATACGCCAAGTACTTTAGCTAGAGAAGTTGGACTTCCCGAGCTAAGAGCATCAGTCAAATACTTAAAATATTCTGGAGCAAATTCCTCAAACGAATCGAACTCCGTTTTCGTCACCTGTTTAATAATAAACCGTTCATCGAACGATTTCGCAAAATAAACATTGCTCTTCCCACCTTGTGGGGTCCACCTCCTACACCGGCTCATCGAGCGTATAAAATCCACCTCATCGGGGCAGCACCTCCTTCTAAGAGCATCAAACTCCCTCGCAAAGTAACAAGTGACGGAAAACCTCACCCTTCCGGAACCTTCCAGAGACTCGTCCTCGAAAGATATTCTAAGATGAGAAGAAGTATCTTCCGAGGCATAGCTTCCGGAATATTCCAAGTCGAGGGAGCCGAAAGACTGCCACGTCGTAAGCTTCCGGTAGCTTCTTGCGGGCCCGCTCGGTTTATCAACCCAATCGGTGTAATCTTTGGAGCTAAGTGCGTAAGAAATTATGCTCGTGGGCTCGTTATCGTAAACAATGACAGTAATATCCTTTTGTGGGCCCGCTATCAATCTTGCTCCTTCGGGCAAAAGAGATACAGACGAGATGAACGAGGGTGAGGTGGCGGCGCTCGGTGTGAGATTCAATTTCTCAGCTTCGCGAGACGATACTTGAGAGTGAGTCCTTTGTACCATCGAAGAAACGGGGTCTCTCAACATGTACCTGTAATCACCCGAAGCATGAAAAGATCGGAGAGGTAGTACTTTCCGTAAACTTTCTTGTACCCTCTGCGCAGAATCGAAGGAGTGAACTCTTGCTGGCGACGATAATAATAATCTTCGAAAAGCTGGATTTTTTTCTTTTTGAATTGTTTTAAAAAATCTAGCTTCGTCGGACACGTCAGCGTCACCGTTCAGCGTGTCGACTGGCGCCAGGTCAGCGCCA